CCATGAAATGTCTGAAGATCTTGAAATCATTGCATGTTACAACCTTCTACCCTCATTTTTTTTCACATTTAGAAAAGAAATATGTTCAGTGTCCAACTGCATTACCTCTATCTGTTCTTAGAMTACCCGCTGCATAGTGGTGAAGTGGTTAGCACCATCTCTCATAAGGYCCTTGTTTGACTTTCTGCTTTTCTCCTGAGCCTGAATAAAAGTGTTCCAGGTTTGTTTGTTACACAAGTCATCATAAACCAAATTAGGAAGCTTGTTACTATTTTTAACTATTATTCAGCATCATGATGTGGTTTTAATGAGGTTTATTTCTAGTTTTTCCTATACAAGTCACCTGGAACTGTAAACAAACGGTTCTGTATTTTATCTGTGCTATCAGATCAGGTTAAATTTGTTCGAGGCATCAGTGGTTGAGCTAATCATTAATTTTTCTGTAAAGATTTGATCATAACCACAGATCTTTCTCCTGCTCCCTTCGTTTGACCTTTGTTTTACGCTCGGTGTCCTTTCTAACACRACTTTGGCTCAAACCTAAAGCCTCAGGACTCCAAACTACTGCACGTTCACCTCTTAAATCCAAACTTCTTTCATCTGAAAACAACAGAAGCTTCTGTCCTTACAAGATGTTTGCTCTTCAGTCAGTTTATTGTTCACCATGCAGATCGATGTTTTTCCTAATTAGGCTCAGCAGATTGGGATTGACTTCAGTAAAGTTGTTCAAGTATAGATGAGCTGCAGTCGAGCTAATTCTAAAATAAATGGTGTGAAACTTTCAGACACATTTCTGTTCTACAAAAGAAAGATCTTAGTTTGTTCTGAGTTCTTTCTGACGCTGATTAAGATCAGTTTAAATCCTGTCTGAAGACTTTGCCAGCTTTCAGGTAACAGTTTTCTCTTGAAATATTCATTCAGATGCATTTATAATTTGAATTTATATGTTTGATAGTTTGAGATGTTTCAAACTCTGCTAGCTACATTTTGATCATTTTTTTCGTATATACGTATATTTTATTTTGATAAAAATGAAG